ATACGTAGTATGTATATTTTGGAAACTATACTTGTTTTATGGCGATGGGTTATAATGTTTTCAGAAAGGTTTTATTAAAACTTTATTTTCAGGCACACTCACCCTTGTTTTTCACCCCTCCAGGTTTTAGAAGCTGAGCTTTCGTATCGACGAGGATTCTTGGCAAACATCGGTATTGGAGATTACCTTCAACGGTATAATTCTCATCCTACTTTATTGTACTTTACTTATACTCTGACATCACGTATGAAATGGGTTCATTCCCGCTCACTAGCGCACTCTTACATTTAGACATTTTTAGGTTTAAATTTAATCACATTTTCGACATCACTACACTTTATGGCTTCTTCACCCTCAAAGTGTCGGCCAACATAACTCAATTCGAAGTCCAAGTGGACATTCCGGGTGGGGGTGCGTCAGTAGTTATTTATATTAATGAGATTTTAAATAAAATCCATAATTTGTGGGATTTGAAATATTAAAGGATAGAATATACTCTCCACTACATAAACAAGAGTACATACTTTCAACACTACAAAGAGGAAAAAAAAAAAAAAGAGGATACTAGGCTTAATAACATTATTAAATTTCTTCAATTAAACTTGACATGGATACATTATCAAATCAAATGAAATATAATGTACCCATATAAGTTTAGAAAATGGATTAGGACTAAAATGAATGGATTTTACATTAAAAAATGGGTACAATATTACAAAAATAATACATTTCACATGTAACAAATTGATATATTTAAGAATGGGTACATTCATGATTCAAAAAAATTAAAAAATTATACGAATGGGTAGATTTAAGATTAAAGAATTAAGTTTGTTTTTATAAAAAAAATTAATGGGTACAAACTTATTCTAATTTTTTTTATTTATTTTGAAAATTTTTTGAATTGAAAATTAATTAGGAGTTAATAAGGGTGTGAGTATTAAAATCCTAAATCAATTACTAATTTTATTTTAAAAAACTATGTAAATTCATTAATACATTAATGTTATGAACTTCGATCAAAATCTAAAAACTAATAAGGTTTTAGCGAATAAACATTAGTAACTAGGGACTATATACTAATTTTTCCTTTAGATATTTTTAAGTATTAGGTTTTCTTGGGTACTGTTGCTAATGCATTTGTCCAATCTGCTGATCGACGAACTCTTTGTCGCTACTGTGCTTTGATATGGTGGTATTGCAATCTTGCACCCACCGTTCCCACTAACTTTGGGTTGCACTACTGCATTCGTATCGACCCGCACAATATTCGTCGTTGTCCATGTCACGCTGCCTAGATAATGCTGATGCAAATTCATCTTCTGTTCCCAACGAACCCAATTACCACTACTGCTTGTTGCTAGACCACGAAACGAGATCACATCAAACCACTTCAGTCATTTTTTGCCTTACCAAACTCACATGTGTCGTAATCTGACCACTTGTGTCGTGATCTGATGAACCCATGAATTTGATTTTGCATTAGCACACCCACCAGGCATGCTGCGACACCTCATTTCTACCCGCATCGAGTTCATTCCACTTTGTCCCACAAAAGAATAAAAAAGAAATAAGGGAAAAGAAAAAAGGAAACGGAAAAAACAGAGAAAAACAGTTTTGTTGATAAGAAAGTATTTGTTGTTATTCTAGCCTATAAGGGTGGCGTGAGAAAGGTTGATGTTAGGTCTGTATATAGAGTATGTTGCCAAGGGGAGCCTTTGCACACTAGAAGTGCTCTAACGGAGTATGCATGTGCATTTGTTTGTTGTCAAACTCATGTCGTTTACCACCATGAGTTTCATAGGATTGTTGAAAAATATTAGTATTTTAGATTTATTTTAGGGGCATTATGATATAGATCCAAAAAATTGAAGTACTATTGGCTTTAGTCCAATTTTTTGAAATTTCTAATTTAGGTCCACTTAACTATTTTTTAAACATATTTTATCACTTGTTTTCAAATTTTGAATGTTTAAACATCTGCAATCTACTAAACATTTAAAAAACGTTTCAATTCTTTACCCTTTAATAAAATAAAATATTTTTATCATAGATTAAGTTGCAAAAATATACAACCTAATTAAAATGTACTTATACATAAATGTACATATACCTATAAGTAAGATATCAAACGAAAAAAATATATTTAATCAATAGATAAACGAATTGATAGGTACAAACACACAATTTACCTACCTATAAGCAAGATAAATTACTATGTAATATAGGAAAACATATAGAAGCAATCTGTGATAGAGATAGATAATAAAAAAAGAAAAATATAATCTACCTATAATAGAGGTAGGTTATATAACAAAATCTTGTGATACAGGTAGATTAATATCGGCCAAGAAATCTGTTGACGCACAAAATCGGCGAGGACTTTGGTACGACAGAAAGTGTCAAGTTTGTGACCTTCGCTAGGTTGCTCTGATCATTAGTGTGGATAAGTATGTAAATGAATAGAGATAGGGAAGCAAACAACACAAGATGTACGTGGTTCACCCAAATTGGCTACATCCACGGAGTAGAGGAGTTCTCATTAGTTGTGAAGGGTTTACACAGATACATAGGTTCAAGCTCTCTTTTAGTGAGTTCTAGTGAATAGTTTAGTACAAATGACATTAGGGATTATTGTGGGAGAATGATCCCCTTTTATAGAAGAGAGTTTCTAGTTTTGTTCTGACATTGACACGTGTCGTGTTGTGATTGGCCTCTGATATCGACACGTGTTGCGCTATGATTGGCCTCTGATACCGACATGTGTCGTGTTGTGATTGGCCTCTTGGTTGGAGGAAAAGTCTTATGGGTCCTTGACGGTATGCTGTTGACCAGTGCTTAGTAGTTTCGGGATTGGTCAAGTATGGTGCAAACAAAATCAATTAATTTGAGTAAAAATACAACTCAAATGAAGATCCAATTTTGACCATGAAATTAACTAATTTGAACACAACAAGCAATTTGATGAAAGAAGCCACCGACCTCTATTCTTGATCAAACATAATCAAATTTCATATATAGTGGAAGCCTGAGAAGAGAAGAGGAAAACTGAACAATGATAAAGAAGAAGAAGATTCGCAAGGCAAATGATAAATCCTAACTAAGAAAAAGGTTTTAGATAACAAACTAAAAGGAAATAATAGATAAATGAAGAAGAAATGAAGAGGCTTATATCCTCGCTTAGAGATATATAGGAAGTAATTTTATTCCAACAATTATCCTATCATTAAGGGAATTTTATTATTTAAACCTTAAATAGGTAAAACTTATCACAAATACCAATCCTAAAATCAAGGGATAATATTGATTACTTATAAGTAATTTTAGGAGTAAATTGGTATGAAAATGAAAAAAAACTGACATGGAATATAATTGGACTTATCTCAAAAATAACTCACAAAATTGGATTCGTATCAGATTTTCCCTTTATTTTATTATTTGGGTGTTTTATATTTTTGCATATTAACTCTTATAGGGTCACTTATTATAAACACAACTTGTAACTCAATATATATACGAGAACCGAGTCAATGAAGATGCATTCCTTAGTATGTCGTCATTTCAACAATCTTTTTTTCTTCTTCTAAATTTGGGTTGATTAAACAATACCCTTAGTTTCATACTCTGTTATACTCTGTCATTTCAGTTGTAAATGTTTTCCTTCATTATTCGTATTGATTTACAATCCTCACTTATATAGGTGTTTTCAATCCCAATCTTACAGAGTAAGTAATCCTCCTTTTAACTAATTAACTCCTTATGTCAACCAACAATCTCCTTATCCCAACTAACTATGTCTCTAACAACTAAGATTCCAACTAATATACCAACCTTTGTAATCTCTTGACAAGTGGCATTGTTTTAACCATTGATATCCTTCTCACTTGGATCACTATTTTCCACTTCATTCTTCTTACACTAAATAAGCGTTATGAATAAAATAGTAAAACAATTAAGAGAAGTTTGTTCCAATTACAACACATAAGTTGCATGTTAAATATATAAAAACATACACAACTCTAAACTTAGAACACTAGAACAAAAAAAAAACTCATAAAAAAAATTTAAAAAAAAATAACATTTGCCCTATGCAAATTAGCCTCTATACTTGTTACTCAAGAAAAGAAAAGAGAATTTTCTTTTAGTTCACAAGTAAATCCCTATATCCGCAGTTCCTTACTTTTCGTTACGATTTTCCAATGAATGTAATATTTGGTACATTCTTAATCGCTTTATTTACTTATTCTTGATTTATTTAGTAGGTTAATTATTTATATGGTCCTTGAAGTTGTTGGTTAGGGTCCTTGAAGTTGTTGGTTAGGGTTATGATTTCAAGAATTGTTTATATTCTATTGTTGTTTTTATATTGATTATTATATAATTTTATATAAGAAAAAAATAAACATATAATTTTATGGTACTAATTTTAGCTAGCCCACCAAAAAAAAAAAGAAGGGGAAACTTGATATAAGTCCAATTTTTTGAGCCAACAGTAAGAATAGTCCAGTTTATTAAAATAAGTCCAATTTGTTATATTTAATTTTTTAATTATCAATAGTTATCTATTCAATGATAAGATTTATTAAAAAAAATCAAATTTCTTCCCAATTATCTCTTTGCTTATTTATTTTTATTTTTCTTTTTGTTATTTCTCGTTCTTCCTTCTGCTTTAAACCCTATTTGTAGATTTAATTTTTAATTTTTATAATCTACCTATGTCATAGGTTAATTATATTTATCTACCTATATGATAGATTTTTGTTTTTTTTTATAATCAACCTATATCATAGGTATGTTATGTTTTTTCTACCTTTTAATTAGGTTTCATATCTCATGTATAGGTATAATATACATTCATATATTTGTTACTTAAGTTGGGGTAGAATGTTTTGCAGATAAATTTATGTTAGTATATTAGTTTTTTTGTTATAAGATATTAATTATATTTTTTGGAGTTGGAAAATGCATACTATTAAAAGATTTTAATTGATTTTTAATATTTGTAGAAAATATAAAATGAGTATAAAAGAATAAAAACATATAATTAGATAATTGGACTCACTCCTAAAAACACTATATGTTTTTGAACCTGGATCTAAAAACCCAAAAAAAAAAAATATATTGGCTCCGCCCACCAAACAAACAAACCAAAGGGTGCGAAATGCATTACAACTCCAAAACTCAAAACCCAATTCTTAACGTTAAAGATTGCTTTAAAACCTACAAGCAAAAAGATGAAAACATAAAGAAAAAAAATAGTTATCAAACGAGGGCTTAGTTTTCATATGAAAAGGATTCCAATATGAACATCCAATTCTCTTATGATATGCATTGGTATCATGACAGAGGCTTCAAGATAATTAACCAAATTCCAAAAGAAACTTGCCAAAGCCAATCATCCACACATCAACATATACACCATGTTTCCCATCCTCTACTCTAAACCTACATGTGAGACACATTCAAACTTGGGTGAAAAGAGGTGGGTACAATGCCCCAACAAACTGGTCTAACTCATATTTACGCTCTGCCCTAACCTTTGAATATATGTTCTTCTCCCATCTTGGAACTTTGGAGGAAAAGGGTGCATTCTTATCGACGCATCAGTCCACTGTGACGATGGGGGAAAAAGTTGGAGTTGGTTGAATTCTCATAGAGGAAGAATCTGAATTTTCCTTTGATCTCCGTGGAGTTTCTTGCAGTTTCAGCTCCAATTGTATGACACCATTTACATATGTAATTACAGATTTTGAGTCCTGGAGACACGTGTCATTGAACCCCATAATTCACCATCAAGAACAAGGAAATTACGAGTTTCCAAAAAAAAAAAAAAAGAACGAGGAAATTATGAAAAGAAAATAAAGAAAATGATTTCAGCACTCATGTTTTCTCCTTTGTTTATGTCCCTTGATTCTCTTTCAATTTTGTTAATCCAAGCAAAAGAAAAGAGAGGGGTGATGAGAGAGAAAAGGGGAGTGCAGAAATCATTTTTGTTTCGGAAAAAGAAAAGATGGAGAAAATAAGGCCTTGTTTGTGATTCTCACTATTTGTGAGGCACTTTGTGAACATGTGCACCACCTCCACCTGATCCTGGCCCTTCATCATCCACAACGAAGACATCCTCAGGCTCCCTCAGAGCTCCATGCACCAGAACAACCGCGAGGCCAATGCAGAGTCCGGCGACGATATGATATCTCGCGTTAGTAAGGTAAAGCGCGACGAGTGTGACCACCAACAGGGCCATCATCACCACTTGCAAGTTGATCCGGTACCCTAGAATCATCAAAGGTTGGTCATGCAGGAAAAATAGAAAGATCCATGCAACCATCATGACGATGAGGACGATCAACGAAATGGGGTGCCATAGGAGGCTTAGGAAGAGGATGGAAAATGTGATGATGGCGTAGTTCATGCGAAAGAAGACGACATTCGTCTTGATTCTATGGACTGATTGGTTGAAGGTGGAGGGAAGGGTGAGATTTTGCAGTTGTATAATTTCCTGCCATGGTCTTCGGTTGCTTAGGGCTGATTGGATCTGTTCTTTTGCGCGTGGGACGAAATGTTGGTTCAAGGATGCCAGGGATTCGGTCGGGATGGTCCCGTACGTTGTCATTGTCCGGTGGTGGAGACAGAGAGAAGAATAAAATGGTATGGAGGTCTGTGGCAAAGATAGTGCCGAATGTGTGTAGCTTGGATTTCTAATTTTGGGGGAGAAGTTTAGATCACTGATCACATATCAGCTACGTGTTAGGTTAATGTTTAAGCAAGTTTGTTACGATCACATGATGCTTTATTTATAACATTGGATGTACAACAAAGATTAGTTAAGTGAGATCAGCAGGCGCATTGAGAATTGGTGTCAGAACTACTATGAATTTATGGCACCAAAAATGCAAGCTGACAGAACGTAGAAATGAGACCTGATTCCTCGCCCATCACTCAATGGTTCCAGAAAGGAAACCAAATAGTCATCTTGAGATCGAACAGAAAGGAAACCCTATGGTGACTCGATGAAAACCATGAGAAATCTCCTCTTCATGTCAGAACCGGAAACACACACATCTTTCCCAAACCCTGTTCCTCCACTATCCGTAATTAAAATTTAGAAATCAGAGCGTAGCAGATCTATGATTAAATCATTAAAGCTCATGCTAACGATAAGCTAGACCTATTGGACTAATCAAAAAAGTGTGTAGCCAATTACGCATCAAACGCTACTCCTTCCAGCTCCAAAACCTGTTTCCAGGTCTGACACCTCTCAGCTATATACATATGGTATCAACTCATACAATGATATATATACCTTCAAGCACAAGAAACAATGCCATAAGGCATTCTATCAAATGACCTCCCCCAAACTACACATTGTTCAAATAAACTCAACAGGTTTACAGCAAATTTCAGTCCAATAAAAGATTCAAGAAGAAACCGATCTTCGTGCCATGGTTTCGTCTAATTTTCTAAGTACTAAATCTTAGATTTATCAGCAAATTGTTAGGACAGAGATCAATCAATCAATAGGCTTCAAAATTTCAGTACATTTATGCAACATTTGAAGCTGAACAAAAAGAAGGAAATTCTCCAACTTTATTTTTCCTATAAACTACGGCATCAAAACTAAAAACCCCATCTCAAATTTTGGGTTTTGATCAACTAAATTAACCCAGAAAATTAACAATAATAGCAATAAAAACAAGCAAAATAAAAAATAAAAAAAAATTAATACCGAGCAAAGTGATTACCTTGTAAAGCTGCTCAGTGATAGCAGAACCAATCACACCAGTGTTGAAAGCGGCGACGTAGATGGTAACCAATGGGGTGAACGATTTGGGCCTGCTGTAGGGCTCCACCATGTTCCAAAGAATCATTCTTTCCCACTTTGTATAAACGTAGTCTGCGTATTTCCTCCATAGATAGCTCGCCATTTCCGATCGGTTCGAGTTGGGTGTTTTTGCAGTGCCGCTGTGAGAGGTTTTGTCTTTGTAGTCTAGGGTTTGGTTTCATTGAATTTTTCTCTTCTTTTCCCGAGCTTTCTCGGCAGCCAAACGGACTATTTGAGTCGGCCGAAAGAGAAAACAGAGTTGGTTTCCCAAAAAAAATAAAAGGGAAAACAGAGTTGTAGTTGGAAGAGAAACAGAGTCACGTGACACGAACCAAAACATGGTTTTAAAACGACAAGTCGTTCACATTTTACTTTCTATTGGACATTTTATATCGAGTAAATTATAGCAATGGTCCCTTAACTTTAACTCAATTGGAGCAATGGTTCCTCAACTAAAAATTTATTACTATTGGTTCCTCAACTTTAATCCAACTGGAAAAATGATCCCTCAATTTTAACTCACTTGAAGCAATGGTCTCTTAACTTTAACTCAATTAAACCAATGGTCCCTCAATTAAAAATTCATTACTATTAGTCCCTCAATTTTAATCCAACTGAAAAAATGGTCCCTCAACTTTAACCCAATTGAAGCAACGGTCTCTCAACTTTAATCCAATTGTAGCAATGATCATTTTGACAAAATTCTAACGAAATTGACGAAAATGATCATAGCTACACGTTTTGATGAGTTGATGGACCCCAATTGTAGCAATGGTCCTTCCAACATAACTTATATTGACAACATTCTGACGAAGTTGACGAAAATGACTATAACTACACATTTTGTGAGTTGAGGGACCACTAGTAATGGATTTTTAGTTGAGGAACTATTACTCCATTTTTATTAAAGTTAGAGACCATTGTTACAATTTACTTTGTTATATATATATATATATTAAAAAATATCCAAAAGCCCCAAATTAAAATAAAAAAGCAATCCAATCTAATTGAAGCGGGAACCAAAACGCACGACCTTTACGTGTTTAGAGAGAGGAAGAAAACCTCCAGTATAGCAAATACCAGAAAATAAAAATATGAAAATCTAAGGACTTTAAGATCCAAAAACTTATTTGGTATGAGATTTGAGAGTGTTGACAATGAAAAAGAAAGCAAAGAAGGTCGGAAGAGGGGCAAATTGGAGAGGGGAGTATGAAGGAGAGAAAAAGAAAAGAGAAGAGGAGAGAAAGTAGTAAGGAGATCGCAGGTTAAGAGGAGAAAAGAGAAAGAGGGAGTATCAAAGGAAAGAGAGATTCGGCGTGAGGAGAGAGGAGAAAAAAAGGTGCGGACCTTTGAATTTAAAAACTCTAAAAAAAAATTTCTTTTTTCTTTTCAAGGAAAAGACTATTGTTTTAAGTTAGTCTTGAAATCAATTTCTAAAAATAGTTGTACTTGTACCAAATAAGTTTCAAGGCCTAAAATTTAAAAACTATTTTTGAGTTCAAAAGGTTGGATTTGAGTATAATACCAAACGAGTCCTAGTAATTCCGTGTCCAAAACAAAATCCTGAGATGTGGATCAAATAAATTCTCAAACGGAGAATAAAGAAGTAGAAATTTAGCATAAGAATACGAATATAAAAAGGAAAGAAAATAGAAAGAGGGTGCTAGCTAGTTACTTATATGCAGTACGGATTTAATGTCCAAACCCTAAACCACAGCCTAATTACAGTGCTTTATAACTGGTCCAGCGTTTTTATTTCTTGGGCAATACGGCACCACTTTTCTATACAATCTTCTAGCGACGACAATACCTTCCACTGACAAGAAGCAGGCCGGGTTACGAACCCAATCGTACTTCAAATCCCGCCGATAACCTGAAGCAAGAACACACGCATATGAGCTGACATGGTTAACCACACGGCCCTACTATGAGAACACTAGATGCATGAAAACATAAGTTTTCATCCTTTTCGATCAAAAAGGCGGCGAAAGAGGTTCCTCAGATAAGCATAATCGGGTTTTTCATCAAACCTTAAAGACCTGCCGTAGTTCAAGTATGCCCCAATTTCCTTTGGATATCCTCGGCATTACTTTAGTCTAAAGTAGGAGGGGAAATCGCACTATTCATATGAACAGTGTTTTGGACCACATTTCAGTTTAATTACAAGACTGCCACTTAAATGATTTTAAACAACTTTTTCTTTAACCCCCGATTTCCACCCTCTGCATTTCAACCTTTGACTTGAGGAGAGAGAGCGGAGGGAGACAAAACGGCTGACAAATTGGAGAGAGAAGACGATGCCTCTGATTTTTCACTGGGACACAGCTGGGTGTGGCTGTGCCGAAAGGAGAGGAAGGGGACAGAGCGAGTGGAGAGGATGGAAACAGAGAGGCTGACAGATTGGAGAGAGATGGGAGCTACGGGTTTAGTGCCAGGATCTATGGGATTTTCTGCCATTTTTGAGAGAGGAATTATCAGAGAGAGATACAGAACGGAAAGCATGCGTGTATGCATTGTTTAGGGTTAAGAGGTCACGCACAGAGTCGGTGAGGAGGGGATGGGTGAGGGAGGAATGACAGTGTGTGGGTTTTCAGCTTTCTCCCTTGATTCAAAAGGTAATGCACTGTATTTCCTTAATTGTTTAGTGTCTAATTTGCCATTTCCTTTGTTAGAATTGCCATTCATATTTGGTTCTTTCATTCAAATTGCAATGCATGTTAATAATTTGTTTGGTTGGGTGCTAGGATTAAGTCTCAATTTTTGTAAATTAGGGCCTTGCACTGATTTAATTTATTTGTTTCTTGATAAATTTTTGTATGATTCATCATTTTTCTGTTTAGCAATTGTTATAGATTTTGTGTTCTTTCATTAAAATTATCAATAGATCGTTGTAGATTTTTAGGTCATCTTAGGGTTAACTCTATTTCAAGTTATTGTTTTAAATTGTTGTTCACTGTTTGCTTTGCCATTGCATTTATTAAAATTGTCATAGATATTTTTTCCTATCATTAATGCTCTCATAGATATTTTATATTGTTTAGTTAACTATCAGGGTTTCCTCTTAGTCATTTGTAGGTTGTTTAGTTCACCTCTAGGTTAGCTGCATGTCCAAACTTATCCTAGAATTTAATCCATTGTCCTAATAACCAAACTGTACATTAGTTTCTGGTGCTCCATTGCATATAGGTAGTTGTTACCTGTTAAATATATCAATATTTGCATAAGAAGAACCAACATTTGACAAGTATAAGCAGCTGGATTAACACTGAGAGAAAACACTTGAATTTACAGCAAAATGAAAGGTTGACACCAAAACAAAAAGAATTTAAGTAAAAAAGCACCTTAATTTACAAAGTTTATTGTTTGAATTTTGCTGTTCACTGTACCGTTCCCTTTATTAAAATTGGCATGGCTAATTTTTCCTTCATTAAAGCTGTCTTAGATATTTTAAAATTGTTTACTTACCTATTAGACTTTCCTCTTAGTCTTTGCAAATAAGGGGACTACACAGTGTTGAAAATTCTGGTATTTCTGTTTTTCATAATTTTATTTTCCTTTGCTTATGAGTAAAAGACTCCTTTTTAAGTTTATTGCATGTAAATTAGGGTGTGTAGGCTGTTTATCTCACTGTTTAGTTCACTGTTTAGCTGATATTTCTGTCTTTATAAACAAAGGGGCTGCACTGTTTTCATTTTTTTGTGTTTCTTCATACTTTCCTACTGTTTGCTTCTTAACAAATCATCTTCAGGTTCATTTTCCACTTCACATCTTTCGAATCCATATGTTGCTAGGTTGTTTTTTCATTTCTTGGTTTCTTATATATTTCTGAAATTAACTTTTGATTTCATTCTTGATATGCATGTAAATCCAACACAACCATACAGATCAAACCATCCATTCACACAGCAGCCACAAGACAGACCATTAGTGAGGTATCTATCTATCCATTTTAAATTTTGTTTATACAAAGTAATTTCTGATGCAAATCTCTTTACTGTGTTTCAATACAAACTCTTTTTCCTTCTAATTCCTTTACTATGTGATGTATCCTTGCAGCTCAAGTATACACACTTTTTTCAGAAACAGAGTCTCATCCACTGGAATCTGAATTTCCTAGCAGCAGGTATATCCTAACCCTTTCACAATCATCTGTTTCAGGCATTAGAATTTTTTTCCTTCTAATTTTTTGTTGATACAACAATGATTGATTATGAATACTTGACTTCATCTTTAGGAATGGGTTTAACAACCAAACTTAACTTTTTTTACTTAAAGCATTGAATTTTTGCTTTTGGTTTTTTTGTTGCTTTGATTGTGGTTATCAAAATTTGTTGTATGTCTATGTACAAATGTATGTGCAAGTATATGTATCAATATATACCTAAGTATATATCTAAATATATATATATATATATTGGCATCTGTATAGCTATATGTATATGTGTGCATATATAAATGTGTATGTACATATGTATGTATGCATCTCTGTTTGTATGTACATGTATATGTATGTATGTATACATCTATGTGTGTATGTACATGCCTATATAGGTAGGCATGCATGCGTGCATGTGTATATATGCATCTGTTTGTGTACGTGCATGCATATCTATAGACATGACTAATGTTAAATAACAGCCACCAAAAGTTTTGTTTCGCAGAGTGAGTTTTATGGTTTTCCACTATGTTTTTTTGAGTTTTATGGTTTTCCACCATGTTTTTGAAGTTACCTATTTTCTGTTATGTTTTGCATAATTTTATGCCTGCAAGTGGTTTGGTTTAGGGTTCTAACAGAGAAAGGTTTGGGGTATCGCAAGAGGATTTGACAGATTAGATTTGGGGTTTGATTTGTGCGATTTGCAACGAGAGAGAGTAGAATTTTATGGATTTGGCTTTGGGTTCTGACACAGAGAGGTGGGGCATGTCCCAGAGAGGGGATTTCAGGGATTACGTTTGGGTGAGATTTCAGGGATTATATTTGGGGTTTTATTTGTGCGAGAGAGAGAGAGAGAGAGAGAGAGAGAGAGAGAGAGAGAGATGGGACAAGGGTAAGTGAGAAACAATGGACAAGGGTAAGTGAGAAAGAATGTAAAAGTCATTTTTAGGGCCCATTTCGAGGGATTTGTTTGCTTGCCCTTGCTGCATCCTTTTGATTCTAAAGGTAAAAAGGTGATCTTAAAGTCATTTGTTTCGAGATGTTGAATCCCATATTGGGAATTCAAGCCTTATGTAAATAGTTTGAATGATCTCGGGCATCTCCGCCCATCACCAATTGGTTTCGGATTGGATGCTCAAATTGTAATGGAATAAAAGGTATTGTTCTTTTGTTCTTTTTTTATTATCTTTGATTGTTTGAGTGAGGAATGTAAAGTTTATACAAATTGCTTCCTGATGGTGTTTATGACTGGTTTCTGTCAATTGGTGTATCTTTTGACATTTGTGCTAAATGCTTCGTGAAAATTGATGTATGTTGTCTAAATAGTTGTGTTTCAGTTGCCTTTTCTGAGCTTCTTCCTTCCTGTATGATATCTGTTTTTCTAACCTTTTTCGTAGGATATTTGCTCCATGATCTGCTGGTTGCCTGTGAAGTTTTGGTGTTTAATTTCACTCCCCAATTTCTAATTTTGTGGAATATGATTTTACCCAAGTTAATATTTTTACGAAAACCACACAAATTACATTAGTTAAGAAATTGTCTCGATGGGAAAGTGTAATTTGGGATTCTGCAAGTTTGTAACTTTTGATGTTGTTCTGATGCTTTCTGTTTCTTAAGCATAATGATGTTACCTAAACATGTAGATTTTGCATTGCTTTTGTATCATGCAATATTAACATTCTATGTAGCCTCTTAGATAATATTACAATGAATTTACATAAACTTTTAGTTAGTTTTCATAAGACAATTTCAATTTCTTCACTTTGTTTGAAAATTGATGTGTTTACCTTCTGACTACTTAATCGATTTAGCTTGCAGTTTAACTATTGCAGTTTTTATGGATTATGGTTTTATATGGATTCCATTTCTGAAATCAGCATGTGTATCTCATTGTATCTAGAAGTTATTTCGGTTGAAGTAACACGCTTAGCATTTGTACTTAGGAGTTGCGTAATTGTCCTTGATGTATTTTTTTGTTTGGAAAATTTTAGATGAGAAATATTGGATAATTTAATTATAGCCATAACTTGCAATTCTAAATGAAAGGCAGTTAAAAAAAACGTGGATAAACATGCTGTGAAAGGACTGATTCCAAAACACATTTTAACAGCTTTATCCGGCTGATAATTCAGAACATTATCAAGTATAAATGATTGGTCGTCAGTTAATCCTTTATGACATTTACCCTTTGTTTGTTGCACTTTCACAAATTTAATCCATTCCACCATCACAGTTTTTTTTTACTTTTACAGTTTTCCCATGGTTTCCAGAATGCGTTTTCGATCTTAATACTATCTGCTCTGTTGCTTGCAGTTATCAGTTTTTTAAAATTGAAACAACATAATAGTTCTAGGTAAAATTTGTGAAGACCAAGGATGTAACCATCTTCGGTTTCACATTGTTCGCCATTAGATTTCCTAATATAAGTTTTTTTTCACATGATCTTGCTGGTGAATTGTTAAAAGGCACAAAGAGAGAAAACAGCCTCCAATTTTATAAACTAAAGTTCACATGCATTTTCTTTAGTATGGGGTGTTCGAGAAAACAAGTTTAAGGATTAGGTTTGGTTGGATTTCAACCATTACATTTCATAGATTCCAAATCTGTTTACTATCTCATTCAATTGGTGTACGTTAGCTCATTTAACTCAAATTTAATGAGATTTGGTCCTCCAATTTCTCGGATTTGCTAACGGATTTACTTTCTTTGGAAATTTCAGGAACCCTGATTGTGGGAGGAACAAGCTGCTTCATTGCCATTTTTAGGTATACAATTCTGCACACTGATTGCATGTTCAAAGCCTAATTAGTTATACACCATCTTTTTGTTACCTTTGCAAAGCTTTTGTACTTGGATTCTAAATATGTGATTAGTTTGTGAAGAATAAACAAGAAAACTAATCATGGGGACATTCTTCTTTTTCGATGTTCTCCTCTCCGGGTGTAAATAAAAGGTCTAGGCGTAATGATTTCAGGGTTTAGAATTGATTCGAAAATATGAAAAAATGCTGCTTCTCTGTTTGTTTTTGCGGTTTGCTGTAGTGATTCCAACTTAGTATATACTCATTTTTATAGAACCATGAATGCTGGTTGTTAAATGTTGTGCCATTTGAAAATCCTTAGTTCTGCGTTCGTTGGTTTTTTTGCTGTTTTCTGTTGTGATTTCAGGTTAGTTTATACTTATTTTTATAGCACCATAAATGGTGGTTGTTAAATGCAGTCCAAATGTTCTGTTTTAACTCAAAACCCTCCTCTTCCAAAAATGAACATCATCTCTGCTGAAAATTCTTTCGTTTTTTTTACATCTGTGGTAACCTCTGCAATGCAAAACAACAAAAACCCTCTTTATAACTTTATTTATTGTCTCCATGAATGTTACATGTACAATACATTGGTAACTGCCTAATAAGAAAACTAACTGGACCTGTAATTAATGCATGTAAAAATTTATGTAAGCAATATTTACAGAAGCAGGTTTCAGTTCTCAGCAAGAACGAACTATTTTGGTGTTGCTTGCTAGGTTGTTATTTCATTTCTTGGTTTCTTATATATTTCTGAAATGCATTTTTTATTTGATTCTTGATATGCATGTAGATCCAACACAACCATACAGATCAAACCATCCATTCACACAGGAGCCACAAAACAGACCATTAGTGAGGTATCTGTCTGTCCATTTTAAATTTTCTTTATACAAAATAATTTCTAATACAAATCTCTTTACTATGTTTCAATACAAACTCTTTTTCCTTCTATTTTTTTGCTATATGATGTATCCTTGCAGCTCAAGTGTGTGCACTTTTTTCAGAAACAGAGTCTCATCCACTCGAATCTCGATTTCCTAGCAGCAGGTATATGCTAAGCCTTTCACAATCATCTATTTCAGTCATTAGAATTTTTTTTCCTTCTAATTTTTTGTTGATACAACAATGATTGATTATGCATACTTGACTACATCTTTATGAATGGGTTTGACAACCACACTTAACTTTTTCTACTTAAAGCATTGAATTTTTGCTTTTTGTTTTTTTGTTGTTGCCTTGATTTTGGTTATCAAAATTTGTTGTATTAGCAGCCCTACTGCATTTGTTGGGTTTTTTAGGCATGAGACTACACAAACAAAGAAAAGATAACATAGTTGTAAAGCTTAGGCTCCAATCAGGTAAATTGTGAGATTTCAAACACGGAGATTTAGTCCATGTTTAAAAACTGCCAAATACATTGGCAACTGTTAAGAGCACGAACTACAAATCTGTAAGGTAAAAAAGCTTGCACATAAGTTCAAACGATCAACTGTCAACCTATGATTGTTACTGTTTTTTAGCTGGACGTTATCATTCTAACATGGTATCAAAAGAGATTATAAGCGTGTGTGGTCTTAAACCACCTAACACCATGTATAAACAAATAATTAACATCTAAAGATGGAGACATGCAACACGAAACCTGCACATCATAGCAAAACCTAGATGGATCCTTAATATTCCTTATGACAGTGATTAAGTTATACACATAACTCTTGCTCCATAATTACATCACTTCCAAATGCAGCTATGGGGTGAAAACCTACCAACCCCAGCTAGCATGAAAAGAGAAAAGAAGGGTCCATATGGCAATCGAAATACCTCGGGCTTCTTAATGTAATGCTTAGAATCACACTGCTCTAGCCTTATCATTCTCCTCTTAGCGTCCTCATTCTGATATTTTGAGCCTGCACATAGAGAACAGCATAAAATTACAATTTATAAGGCATATTGATGCAGTGAACCTACATCACATATGCCGTGATTAGAAATGTTCTAATGTTCTATTTCAAAACATATCATTTACTATGAATGCTGTATCTTCTGTCAGTTAAGCATGAATGCCACATAATAAACACACTCATTACATAAATGCACACCATTGTACTGATAATACGTACATAACCTGGAACTAATGGCTATAGTGTATTACTAATTTGGTGTAGCTTTGCTGGGATCTCTGTTTCACCTATGTGTGATTAGTGGTAATAAAATTTTGCCACTGTCTCTGAGCTATTATTTTCATTGCTGTTCTGTGAGTTAGTGCTAATTGATTTGCTTTGTTTGCGATTTTCAGAAAGTTGGATCGTTAGCCGGAAAACATGCCCCTTTGACTTCTGAGGTATATTATTTAACACTGGTTTAATTACTGTTCTTACATTTTTTTGTGCACATCGGGATTATATGTAGCTATCTAATTATGCCATCCTTTGACTATGTATGAGCACGATAGCAGTAGAATGTGTAATTGTTACATCCTAAGTTGGTGTAATGTAAAAAAAATTTGTGCCATCAAAACTACACTGACACATAATTCTAAATAAAAGGCAGTTAAAAATGATCAGCGTGGATGAACATGCTGTGAGAGGACTGATTCCAAAATACATCTTAACAGCTTTATCCGGCTGATAATTCAGAACATTATCAAGTCTAAATGACTGGTTGTCAGTTAAACCCTTCTGAGATATACCCTTTGTTTGTTGCACTCTCACAAATTTAATCCGTTCCACCATCACAGTTTTTTTAGCTTTTACAGTTTTCCCACGGTTTCTGGAATGCTCTTTCGATCTTAATACTATCTGCTCTGTTGCTTGCTGTTATCAAGTTTTAAAAATTGAAACAACGTTATAGTTCTAACCAAAATTTGTGAAGGCCAAGGATGTAACCATCTTTGGTTTCACATTGTTAATTTGAATTATGAAGTTGTGAGTGAATAAATTGGGAGTCTGAAATGTGTGTCTGCCACATGGGTTGGGTTGGGTTGTATTAGTGACTCTGTGTGAGTGTAGAGGTGGGTGTGGAGGTGGAGGTGGAGGTGGTGGGGTGGTGGTTTTGTTTTTGCGCCATCCCAAGACCAAGGAGAATGCATGTGAGAAAATGTGATGAGTTTTAAACTCATCACTCACTTATTAGTCAAGTCAACCATTTTCCACTCAACTCTGATATGCCAATTTGCCAACTGCCATATGGTTTTAATTTGAATAGGTTTAAGGATTAGGTTTGATTGGATTTCAACCATTAGATTTCGGATTAAAAGCATTAGGTTGAACGATTAGATTTGGTTGGATTTCAACCATTACATTTCATAGATTTGAAATCTGTTTACTATCTCATTTAATTGGTGTATGTTACCTCATTTAACTTAAATTTAATGATATTTGGTCCTCCAATTTCTCGGATTTCCTAACGGATTTACTTTCTTTGGAAATTTCAAGGACCCTGATTCTGGGAGGAAGAATACACTGCATTGCCATCTTTAGGTATACAATTCTGCACACTGATTACATGTTCAAAAGCCTAATTAGTTATACACCATTTTTTTTATTACCTTTGCAAAGCTTTTGTACTTAGATTTTAAATATGTGATTAGTTTGGAAAGAATAAACGAGACAACTAATCATGGGTACATACTTCTTTTTCGATTTTATCCTCTGCATTGTTTCTTGAATGAAATTGGATTCATAGATGTAGGGATACAGCAACAACTGAGGTGTGAATAAAAGGTCTAGCCGTAACAATTTTAGGGTTTAGAATTGATTCGAAAATATGAGAAAATGCTGCATTCTCTGTTTTTTTTTTTTTTTTTTTTTTTTTGCTGTAGTGATTCCAACTTAGTATATACCCATTTTTATAGTACCATGAATAAAGAATATGCAATTGCTAGGATCTCAATTTGATAATCCGATTATAAATGGATCTATATAAATCAAGGCTAATTCAGTCCAACTTGATATAGTATGACTTAATATAACATATCCTTTGATCTTTATATTACTTATGGTTTTCTGTAGTGGTAGTTTAATTAAAATCGAAAAATATAATAAGAATGAGGTTACTCATTCATTATATTTTAATATTTTCTAGGTTTTAAATTAACTTTGATCTATCCTAATATGATGTTAATCGATTCTGAATCAATAAATAAGATTTGATGATCCAAATAGGATTCAAATCTGTTAATTCGATTTCAAATATGATGTTACATGTACTGTAGATTGGTCACAGCCTAATAAGAAGACTAACTGGAAGTGATTTAGCCCTTCATTCTCATTTTTTTTGTTCAGTCCAGTGCCAACAAAAAATAAGGGTGCCTGAAAATCATTTACCTAAGCATATATGTTTAACAGCTTCCTTCACTGTAGATTAATATCCAACGATTCTAACCTATATTATATCATTTATATACTTTTGGAAGTATGTCATAATCAATTTGATTTTTTATTGGTATGTGTGAAACCAATTTGATTCAGGTTACAAGGTTGAGGGTTGCGGATAGTTAATCATGTTCAATAACCTTAGTTACAGGGCCATTCACTTAAATTTTGTTTTCAAGTTATAGAAATACGGCTTTTCATTCTTACTTAATATAAGCTTTCATTACATCTTCAGTTTCACATCATTCATCATTGTATTTGCTAATATCAGTTTTTAGTGTGATAAGCTTACCGGTGTATTGTTAAAAGGTAGTGAAATAATCTGTGCTTGACGACTTACCTGCTCAAACAGCGCTTTTTGTGTGTTTTGTTAACTGCTAAGTAGGTTTTTAGGAACTTTGTATTTTCATGTTTTCACGAATTTAGAAAACAGTTTTGACGATGGAGATTGCCTGTTGAGTAGGAGGACTTGGCTTTTGGGGACATGATAAATTCAAATTTTAGCAGATGTTTGTTTCCTCCATTTTCCCAGTTTGTTGGTTTCTAATTTCTCTTTGGAATCAATTGAACCTCTTCAGTGTGGTCTGGTGTGAGTAGATAACATTGTAATTGGTATTGTTTAAAGAATCCACAAAATGCTGTCTGTTTATCTCCTGTCAGTTTAATCTTCTTCTTCTGGGTGAAGAGAATGAATTGGCAGAAAAAAGTTTTGATTTTGCTTATTGGGTTCAATCCTCTTCCTTCCACAAACTGTTTGGTTGCCGAGAAAATGATGGAACAGGAAGAAAATAAACATTGATTTGGTTGTATTAATTTTTCCTCATTTGGGTAATTACAGATGCGGTTTATATTCCTCTTATGTAAGAGATGAGTTCTTGAAACCAGAAGAAGTTATTGTTGAATTGATGCTGAATTAGATGCATTTAGATTTAATTAGTTATGAATTATCCATTTTTCTAATCAGCCATTCATTCTTTTCCTTTTCAACATGAATTGGCCAAAATTTTCTTTAACCATTGAATGAAGTGAAAACGGATGTTGGTCTGGTAGATGGTTTTATGAAATTCGGTTGATGAAACTGAACCATGTAGTTGAATTTAGCTCAGATGTGTGCTGGTTCGAGTTTTCTCATGTCTCTGTTTCTTCAGTTTCATATGGAAACAGACCTTCTGCTTATTTTTTCCTTTGAACAGTTGTGGTTACAAAATTAGCTACTTGAACGAGTCCTCAACACTTTCTATTTTTAATTACATCTTGAAATGGTTGCCTACACTGCATGACACATCGACATCCTCAAATGAATGCTTCTTCTTTTATTAGAGTTGCAATAATCTTCCCATACATGTTGTAATACCCACATGAGCTTGCCAAAGGTACTGACTGGGTGCTAATTTATGGTTCACGTACAAGGTAAAGTTCCATAAGGAGGTGCAAGCAGAAGAAGAATTGGCGTCACCCTTCAGTTTTTCAACCAAAAGGAGGTAACCTTTATAAATGATTTATACAAGCTTCTCTGTTTTGTATCTCTGAAATTTGAGTTCTTTCACTAAAAATGTGAATAGGGATTAGTAAATATTTCGCATTTTTTTTTTCTATGGGCCATTTGTGTTCTATTTCAGTTGTATTTTGAGTCGTGTAATATAAATTGCATACAAAAGGCTAAAGAAGTAAATCCAGTATACAAGCTCTCACGGTGAAGTTGAAGTTGAGACTACACTATGGAATGCTAAATATTTAGTCTAAATCTGAAGACCGAAAAATAAAATAACTGAAGCTAAAATGAGTAGAGTTAACTTTTTAGCCTCAAATATCCTTAGGCGGGCACAAAATTTTGACCACAAATCCAAAATTTTGATCCCAACAGCGTCGATAAACATGATGTCAGACGACTGATTCCAAAACACATTTTAACAGCTTTATCCAGCTGATAATTCAAAACATTATCAAGCATAAATGATTGGTTGTCAGTTAAACCCTTCTGAGATTTACCCTTTGTTTTCTTTAAAATTGTAATGGATGTTTATAGGCTGTTTAGTTGGGTGTTGGGGAGATTAGGCTGTTGAGTGCACTGTTTCGTACAATGTTAGAGTGAGGTTTCTGTCTTTAAGAAATGGAGAAACAATCTAATTTTTCTCATATAGTGGAAGGTATTAATTTAGACTAATCAATGTTATTTAAGATCCAATCTTTTTTTATCTTTTCTAAAATTTTTCGCACTCCTATCAAAATTATTTTTCCTTTGAATATCATATCAAGTGAGATAATGTAAAACATAATTCCTCATGCATGTTCTGTATTTTAATTTATTCTGGACAGATGCTGGCCAAAATTTATTTGTTGTTCTAAAATCCATAATTTCCTTATTTGTATTATGTCTGCTCAACTTCGGTTTAGCCAAAATAGTATATTTATCAATATATACCTAAGTATATGTCTAAATATATGTATAGGCATCTGCATAGCTATATGTATATGTATACATATATACATGTGTATGTACATATGTATGTATGCATCTGTGTGTGTATGTACATGCCTATATAGGTATGCATGCATAGATGTGGATATAACTATATATGCATCTGTTTTTTTACGTCCATGCATATAATATGATCATTGAATCTGTTGTCAAGACATACTATATTAAGGATCTTGCAATCATGAATTTGGCTGAAATGACTATTAGTACTGATTCAAGTGTTTAATCTTTTTGATTGTGGAATGTTTAATATTTAAAACTATTTAGTCATTATTCTTAAGATATAAAGTGAATAATGAAGGCAAGCGAATTGAGGTGTTTCTAATTTGTATCAGTTCAGCCTCTAAAAAATTAGTGTTTGTTTTTGACAATTTTTGATATTTTCTATTATTTTAGGCCGTACATGAAGTGTAATGTGGTATGCATGCTAGGTCGTGAACCATTATTTGCTCTATTTAGCCTATTCCTTCTAAAACCAACGTTCTCACACTCTAACCCCTGTACTCATTCAAAACCGACTATGATACCTCATCCTTACTTTAGGCCTTTAAATTAATATGGTGACAGAAGATGCATTCCCATTGTTAGCAACTTTTCTTTCGTTAAATGTAAATTTGTCGTACATTAAGTCCATTGAACTGTCCCAGTTAGAGTCCATTGCACTGTCGCAAATTGAGTTACTTTTCCTGTATCCATTTGTTTGCGCTTCGAATTCTAACTCTCAATCTCATTGATTTGTTGTAGTTTAGATCAAAGTCTCATTACAACGCCGTGATCTGCTCTTCTTGCTGCCTTTGATCTAGGGGTCCGGACCTATTGCATTTGAATCAAGGCTTTGGTATGTCACCTAAACTAAGCTGCAGTGTTTGCCCGTGCTTTCCATTTGAGTTAATGCAGATTTATCATTTTTCAATCGATTGTTTGGTTTTATCAGCTTATGTCATTCGTTTGCTCTCTGCTTTGTTTCTCATTCTCAGTTATCTCTGTGATCCTTTGATACTTCATGAGTTCATTGGTTTCTTTGTTTTTGTTGGTTTTAATTTAGTCTCAACCATTCTATTATTGTTCAAAGATGCATTGATGTCGTCTGTGATTTTGCTTTAACCAGGTGTTCCTAAGTCCAGTGTTGTTAGCCATTTTATATGTTTTTTTGTCAATTGTTTTCTTTCTTTGTTGCGTTTTCAATTTTCCAAACCATTCTTCAGACATCAGTTACTTTGGTTGGTATGGTTGGTGTTTTCGTTAGGTTTTCCTAAGAGTTAACCCTCATCCCTCCCTAAGTCCTTTAATGAGTGCTGTTAATAACTACGCTCTCCGAACAAAGCTAACTTATTTCCAAAAAAACTCACAGCTTCTATATTTGAGTTTAAAATTTTTTTTTTACAATGTTATTTTAAGACCTACAAGCTAACTAGAGTTTTCTTTCTAAAATACATAATATTAACGCTGTATTTAATGTCATTCAGGTTAATAAAATGGTGAAAGAGATTGAACGAAGCGAACAACAAATTCTAGGACGCGTTTTGGTAAAAAAATTTAAGGGAACTGATTAAGGCTCGACACAATGAAAAGAATGAAGGAACAATAAAGAAATATTCCGACACTGCCCCAGGACCCAATACAAAGAAATCAGTCAAAATAGAAAAAACAAGGTTCGGTTTGCATGTTTATGGTAAGGGCCCAAACCGAAACAAATTGGTGGTCCACACTATCTTTTCACCTGAAAATCGTAGTAATTCACTCAAAGAACAAGTTCCGTTGGATGAAGCAGTTTAGCTTCTGTTTAAAAGGTTTCTCAGTGGTATCTACACGTTTGGTTGCTGCAAGAAGATTCTAATTTTTTTGCTCTTCCTTTCCTCCACCGTAAGGGCTTTTTGGGCTTTAATTGTATAAAGACGGAACAGTTGTTAGATAAGATAAAGGCCGTGTAAATCTTTTTTGTTGGGTCATGATGCCAATTATGTAAACAATTAACCTTTTTACCGTTTTTTGAATAAACTATTGGCATTACTCTTTTTTGCACCTCTTTGTTACACTCCTATCTCGCGAATTAATGTTTTTTCCTAACAATAACCTAATCGATCTGGTATTATGTTTCTTTGCTTATATGTTTTTTGCATTTTTTGCTGTTGTAAATAACATCATTTGACTCATGCTTCTTTGCTAGGTATAAACTTTTAACACAGTTGTTATATTTATGTTTTGGAATTCTTGGTGAACATGCCGTTCTCATAAACATATCATTTATTTCACTATGTGCTCTCATGGCGAAATTGAGAGAATTTGTTTTTAAATTCCTACTTTAGTTGGTATTTATGAAAATTCTATTCTCTTTTTAAACTCTTCAAATTTTAGTTAGTTCCTCGACAATTTATAATTCGTTTCTCCAAAAAATATATTTGTGTGGATGTTTGGCTTTGTGAATATTTTTTTTTTGCAGCCATATCCAAATTGTTAAAACTGTGTTAATTAATGTGGTTTTTCGGTTTGTTTTTCAAGTGGGGAAGAAGTGAGCAACAGATTTATATTGTTACTTTCGGTTACTATGTAACTATTTCAATATGGAAGTCATGGATATCATGTAAAAAATGCAACAATAAAAAAATACAAAAGGTACATACGGTGTGAAAAAGGTGGGTTTAAAGATGGTCACGTTTGACTGCATGCCAAGAGTAATACTCATTGTTTCATAGTTGTGAATATAGTCGCAAAAAATGATGACAATGTTTTGGTCTTGAGTAACTACTCAACTTAGTAGTTTTTAACTGCTGCACAAATGTGATTCATAAAGTTGAATTTGATTCTACTCAAGGATGTCAATTTAAAATATGAATTGGGGTTTACATTTTTAGGATCTTCAACTATGGTTAAAAAACGGTTGATCATTTTTGAGCAGAATTTCAACTTGAATTACTACCATGATAAAATGTTTAATATGCTTACTCACCTCGCACTGACTTCAATCCATTTATTCCACTCTTAATGATTTTCATGATTGTTTTCATTTTTTGTTTTCCTTATAAATAAATTTGTTGCACTTGACTTATGGATTTGTTCAGATGTTTAAGTGGTGGTGCTTAAACTCAAAGTATTTGAGACTATATCTATCATTATTAATATATATCAAACTAAACGTCTACTAAGAGTCCGACCTAAGAGCTTTGTGGACAGGAACGATGAAATCACATCATGGGTTTCTATAAATCTCTAAACATATTTAATGAAACTGTTTTGAAACATCTACGAAATCAAACATAAATTGAATGCAAACTTTAATCCTCCGACTCTCTAATAATGCATATCCTTTAGGATGCATGACAATTGTTTTCAATGTATGTTGTTGATGTTTGAAATTAAAGCCTTACACTTTACATCTTGCATAATCTATTGGTCTTAAGTAAATCAAACATAAATAATTTTCTCCTTTTTGTCAATTTTATGAATCCATGTCTTGCAATATTAATGTTGTTGAGTTCTGCATTAGTTTTTATAGTTTGATATTTGTTCTATTTTTGGCTTCTCTCTAATTAAATATATTTTTATATTTTGTCTTCCTCTTCCTGTAGGTTCTGTTTTTATCGTTAGGGTCCTTTATTCTTTTTTGGTGGCATTCATACACGTGTACGCTTTTTGGTGGCATTCATACACGTGTGCGCTTTCATCTATATAACGGTTAGATTTCTATCACTTTAAAGAAGTTTTACCTTTTTCATTTGCTTTTACTTTTTTCTCAATTTTCACGTCCAATTGTTGATCCATGCTTTTTTAGATCATAATAACATCATTATTCGATACTTACGTTGGTTTCATTTATCACAATTTTTTAGCAATTGTCGTTCACTTCATTTGTTCATTTTCCACTCTTTTTACTTTTATATTCACACGTGGTTGCGATTTTGAAGACCTCTTGCTTTAATGGGCTATGGTTTACCGCTCATTTCATATGGTTAACATAGTTGTCCACCATCACTTTACTTTTATTAGAAAGTAAACAACTGCCGTTTGGTTTTTTCCGTTTATGTAGAATTATGTCCAGCAGAATAGGGGTATCCAAGCATAGCAGAATAGGGGTATCTAAGAAGGCCACTAGAACTCAACGTACCGATTTGCCTGCATCTATTGAGGTTGTTAATCTCAATGATATGGTGTTGCAAGATGTTCCCACCGCTTATGACGATGAATACAACAGTACTTCAACCTCTTTAGTATTTTCAAACAAAGGAAACAACAGTCTCCAAACATTTACACCAAGTTTTGAACAAAATACTCCCGTTGGTGGTGTTTTTACGTCACATTTGGTAGCTGGAACAAGTTCTCATCAAGTTTCTATACCTCTTCTTATCGCTGATCGTCCCACTGTGCATTGTCTGTTGGCCAGAAATACTCCAGGTATTCATTCTGTTACAAACCCGCTCATTACCGGGCAGGCCACCTATCAGAAAAAAAGAAAGCGTATGTACTCTTTCAATATAACTTTTTGTATTTCCTTATGGATTTCAAAATTTGACTTTCCTCTGTTAATTAACTTCTATCAATTCGTTTGATGTACTTTCTATTACTCTTTCTTATTTATAGGGATTGATCCAGAATATGTTGGTTTTGGATTAAGAAATTACCAATGTCAGTATTGCAGTGCTCTATTTTGGTCTGCAGAACAGACAAAAAAAAATCCTGAGCGTCCTTCTTCTGTTTCTACCCCGCAGTTTACTGCGTGTTGCATGACTCAAAAAGTGCAATTCCCACGTCCTAAACCCACGCCCGCTTTTTTGGATCGTTTGTTAAACCCCACAAATTCTCAAAGTTTTTTGCAGTTCAAAAAAAATATTAGATCATATAATTCAATGATGGCATTAACTTCAATGGGGGCCAAAGTTGATGGATCGATCAACAAGGGTCAGGGTCCATATGTTTTTAAAATAAATGGTCAAGTACATCATTTGATGGGTTCTTTGTTGCCTCCAGAAGGTGACAATCCTAAATTTACACAACTGTACATTTATGACACTCAGAATGAAGTCAGCAATCGTATCGGTTGTTTCAACAGATCAGAAGCATCTGAAAAACTCGATCAACAAGTTGTTGGTGGCCTCATTAAAATGCTAGATGAGTGTAATGAAGTCGTTCAACTTTTTAGGCAAGCCAGGGATAGAATTGATGAAAGATCCACAAGTAATTTACGCCTACGTTTGTACGGTGCACATAGCAACCATGATATGCAATACAATCTACCGACATGTGACGGGATTGGTGGCTTGATAGTTGGGGACATTGGCCAATTTCACACCGAAAGGGATATTGTTGTGGAGCATAAAACAGATGGCCTACAGAGAATCACAAAGTTACATCCTAAGTACATGGCTCTTCAATATCCTCTTCTTTTCCCATATGGTGAAGATGGGTACAGAAAAGGACTTCCTTGGAATCCAAATTTTAGGGGGAAAAAACCCAAGAATGGGGGGGTAACAATGAGAGCATTTTTGGGTTATCAAATTCAGGATAGACCAGGACAAAGTGACACCCTGTTAAAAGGCGGCAGATTGTTTCAACAATACTTAGTTGACGCATATGCGACTCTTGAAGAAGATCGGTTAGACTTCATTAGGTTAAATCAAGATTCTTTTAGAGCAGAAGGTCTTAAAGGAATTCATGAAGCTCTCAAAGCAGGAAATGCAAGCAGTTCTGGTGTTGGCAAGAGAGTTATTCTGCCAACTTTGTTTACTGGCAGTGTTAGATATATGATAAATAATTATCAGGATGCTATGGCTATATGTCGCCACCATGGAAATCCTGATTTATTTATCACTTTCACCTGCAATGCTAAATGGCCCGAGATTATTGAAGATCTACGTGATAAACCTGGTTGTAAAGCTGAAGACAGGCCAGATTTAACTTCCAGAATTTTTAAAGCAAAACTTGACCATTTGATAAAATACCTCAAGTCAGGAAAACCTTTTGGTGTTGTCGAATCAGGTTAGTTCGTTACACTTGACTAATTTTTTCTGTTGATTTGTTTCAATCTTATCACTACAAGTCCTGAGAGTCCATGGTTTTAATATATCTACATGTTTGTTTGTTTTGTTTTTTTTTTTTTTTTTTTAACAGTGATTTACACGGTGGAGTTTCAAAAAAGAGGTCTTCCTCATTGTCATATCTTGCTCTGGGTTAATAAACATTATAAGTGTCATTCGCCTTATGATGTTGATTCTATCATTTCGGCTGAGATTCCTAATGAAGGATGTGACAAAGCTGGGTATGATGCAGTTTCGCAATACATGATACACGGCCCATGTGGTGTTCCGAATCAATTTTCACCTTGCATGAAAGAAAACAAATGTTCAAAAAAATTTCCTAAATCTTTCACAAGTGAAACCACTTTTTCCACAGAGGGATTCGTTGCATATAAGCGTCGAGATATAGAGAATCTGTTTGTTCTAAAAAAAGGAATCAAGCTTGATAATGCATTTGTTGTCCCTTATACTTAACCGTGAGGTTGCTGCTAAATTACCAAAAAGGTAGCTCCAGTTTTGATCATTTGAGGACCGTCAAAGGCATTCTTGAACCAACATTCCGAGCTGCATGCACCTCGCTTGGCTTACTAGGAGATGATAAGGAATGGAATAGTGCCATGTTAGAAGCGGTTGTCACAGCGTCATCTTTCCAATTAAGGCAATTGTTTGTCACATTGGTTCTCTTTTGTGATGTTGCTGATCCATCAACTTTGTTTGAAACACATTGGAAAACGATGTGTGATGACATTTCGAAAAATATGATCAATGCTTTTGGCCTGCAAGATCTCTCTAACTACCAAGACCAACTTAGAAACTCACTTTTGTACGAGTTAAAGAAATTGTTTACTGCTTCAAATAGTTCTTTGTCGAAGCATCACCTACCACAACCAAACAATTTGATGATGGATAAACTTACAAATAGGAGTTTAAGGGAGGAGTTAGATTACGATGTTGACTCACTAAAACATGAGCACTCGATCCTAATCAGCCAATTAAATAGAGAGCAAAAATATGTTTATGACAATGTCATGGAAACAATTCAGAACAACAGATCTGGATTGTTCTTTGTGCATGGTCATGGTGGAACAGGCAAAACTTTTTTGTGGACCACCATTATAGCTAGAATTAGATCCCAAAATCAAATTGTTTTGGCAGTCGCTTCATCTGGAATTGCCTCCCTTTTACTTCCTGGTGGAAGAACGGCTCATTCTAGATTTAAGATTCCTATCAACATCACGAATTGTTCGGTTTGTGAAATTAAAAAAGGGACTCATCTTGCAAAACTAATTGCTGAAGCTGCTCTCATAATTTGGGATGAAGCCCCCATGAATCATAAACGATGTTTTGAAACTCTAGATAGATCCCTTCGTGATGTTCTTAAAGGATCAAAACCAGGTTTAGACCATTTACCGTTTGGAGGTAAGCCAATTCTTTTCGGAGGTGATTTTAGGCAAATTCTTCCTGTCGTTCCAAATGGAAGTGTCGCTGATATTGTTGAAGCTTCATTGACGAGTTCATACCTTTGGCCCTGTTTAACAATTTTTTTCTTAAAGCAAAACATAAGGCTTTCGAAAACAAATCTAGATGAAGCAGAAAAACAAGAACTCACAAATTTTGCAAAGTGGATATTAGACATTGGAAACGGTACTATTGCCAATTCTTTATCTTCAACTAATGAAGAAAGCTCTTGGGTTCAAATTCCAGACCAATTCCTTATTCGTTTTGATGAAGATCCCATCAAAACCATGGTTTCAGCTGTGTACACAAATTTCAAAACTAATTTTCGAGATGTACCATATTTGAAAGAAAGAGCTATTGTGACACCACGCAATGATACAGCGACCGAAATAAACAATTTTATGTTGGGTATGGTGCATGGCGAAAATCGTACCTATCTCAGTTTTGATTCGGTGTCTTCTTCAACAGAAAATTTAGAAAATTTAGATGTGCTTTATCCAAATGAATTTCTAAACCAACTTGATTTACCTGGTTTACCGCACCACAAGTTAGATTTAAAAGTTGGTACTCCAGTGATGTTGCTTAGAAATTTAAACCAAAGCAGTGGATTATGCAATGGAACACGATTGGTTGTGATGCAATTGAACAACAAAATTATACAAGCACAAATCATAACGGGAAGCAACATTGGTGAAAGAGTTTATATCCCCAGAATTATTACTGAATCATCTCAGCATAAATATCCCTTTACTCTGCGAAGGCGACAATTCCCTCTAAAGATTTGTTATGCAATGACAATCAATAAAAGCCAAGGACAATCCTTGAAAATTGTTGGTCTTTATCTGTCGCAAACTGTTTTTTCACATGGCCAACTATATGTTGCGCTATCCAGGGTCACCTCCACAAAGGGTCTCAAAATCGTTATTGCTCACGATAGCGACATGCCCTACGGTTATACAAAAAACATAGTTTATAAAGATATTTTGAAACATTTACATGAAGGTATAAGTTTGCGTTATTATTTTATCCTTTACTTTATTTTTGTAAACATGACTACAACATTTCTTTGATAAATCACTGTATCCAGTTTCAAATTTTATATGCTTCTTGATTGTTTGTATATGTAGATTAATGGAGCAGCAACCAATCCGTTTTCTGAAGTCATACTAGCCGGCAAACAACCTCCAAATCAGGGTATGCAAAATGTGAACCACAAAGAGCATCGGAGATAATCCTTAACCTCTAAGTCTTGATTGTGTCTTTGTTGATATACATGTAAGCCATCTACACCTTTTTACATATCGTTCAATGCTAGCATTCTTTCGTATCCATAATGTACACACCATATTCTTAATACAATAAACATAAGATCTTAAATGTTATCTAAGTAGCCACAACTACACTATACCTACTGTTTTCGCTATTCTTAAAACTACATGCGTTAAATGTTATACTGCTCATTTAGTGTTATCTCTTATTTTTAATTTCTTCTTCTAAAAGGGAGATGTGGTTCACAGAACCATGAATGCTCGAGACAACCAATTTTTTTTGGACCATCTAAGTGTCGGCAATGCTTATGAACTTAACAAATTTCGTGTCTTACACAACAGGAGATCAAGCAAGGTTATCCCTCATGCTGCCATGATTGAATTGAATAGGAAAACCACAATCGTTCCTATTCAGAACACAAGTAAAGAGCTCCCAATGCATTGGTTCAATTTAATTTAACTTGATCAACTTGATCAAAGAATCAACAACGATGTTGAGCTTACAGGTAACAAATTTAGTTTCAAATGTCGCTCTAACATCTAACATGATAATTTAATTTAATTTTTTTTTTTTTTTGGCTTCAGTGTGCTCATTCCCGCCGCTTAATATTATATGTAGATGTGTTTGTTTGCCTAATAGTTGTACAGCTGACTAAAGAGATCATTATCCAAAATACAAGAGTTGCAAAAAAGAGAAATCTTAACCTGAAAAATATTAGATAATTTTTGTTTACATTAAACTCTGAATATTATTTATATGGAACTGTATTTATAACATATACAAAACCCTCATCGTTTGTATTACTTACAGAGATGAATTAGTGAGAATCACCTTATGGGGAGAGACTGCAACAAATTTTGAGAACAATAGAATACAATCACTTTTGCCACCCGTATTTATGGCTTTAACAAGCCTCAATGTCAACCAATACCGAGGTTGTGCCCTGCCATAATTTATCTAACTATTTAAAGTTTCAATTTGTTGATTTTTATGCTTTGTTTATAGGAGATCCTGTTCTCGGAAGCACAGGATCAACCGTTTGTGTTTTCAATCCAGAGATTCCGCAACTCTCCGAATACGCACAAGTAAAATGACAACCCTTCTTTAATAACTTTTGCGTTTATATTTCTTCGATTAATCTTTCTCACCCTAAACATGCACAAAACAGGTTTAAGCATCTTAGATCACCTGTTCAAATCCTACCCACCTCAGCTAAGATGTATACAGGGCGTGCAGTCGGTGCTAATGCTGAATAAAAAACAATTGACCAATTGCTACAACTTGATCATGCATTGCACAAGGTTAGTTAGTCATCACCAACCTATTCACCAAAATCACCTCTTTTTCAAAATAGAATTTTCATGTTGCATCTAACTTGACAATATCTTGCTTTGTTTCTCTATTTGTTGATACTCCATGTTTGCAAAATGATGATTAATATCTTTAATGAGTTGAAAACCCTGTTTTTCCATAACAGAATACAAGTTTCGTAAGCCAATCAACTATTGTTGGATTCGATTTGACTAGGGGTTGGTGGTACAAATCATGCCCGTTCGGCCATAAAGTTGTTAGAAGCAAATCTGAATCGTTTGAGTGCAATGAACATGGTTTCATAAACAGATTACCCGAACCATGGTAATATGCTTTTACACCTATTTTATATCTAATGGCTATATTAAGTTGGTGAGTCCTTTTTTATTATCTTGGGATTATGACAAATAAGGGTCATCTCCCCAATCATTACGTTGTTACAACTGTTTCACCTTTGGGGGTATATTATTAGCATCATTGTAAATGTCTCTGCTATAATGTATCATGGTAGTGTGCACCTATACTGTTTTCCCCACCTTTAAATAAGAAACTAAAGAGTTTGAAGAACAACCATATTCATAATACATAAATGATACTTCAAACTTTCAATCATATACTTTTCATTTTGCATAATATGTTGACGTGACGTAAATTATTTCTTAATAATTTGTGACTTTCCATCAATTTTATACATGCATACCCTACATTACAATAGTTCTACTTCACTTCCTACATTTCTCACAAGAGTGATATTAGCAGTAATGTTTACCTAACAACCGTATATCCTCATCTTACCTAGGTTCAAAATAGATCTTATTGTGGAAGACAATACAAATCAACACAACTTCCTCATGATAGGAAAGCATGCTGAAAAAATACTTCGTGTTTCTTGCCACACTATGGTGATAGAGGATGGATATGAGGATCTTTTCAAAGTTACACCAACTCTAAAAAATTTGGTCAGCAAGACAAAACAATTTTAGCTCTCTTTTGGAAACCAAAACACTAACTTTGGGAAAACAGACTTCATCGTTCATAGATCAACCACACTCGAACCCAACAATTGCCTTAGTCACACCACAAACACCTGTTACCACTGTAGCAAAACAAATTTTAATTGAAGCAATCCCCAGCCCATCTACTCCTTCCCAGCAACTGCATCAAGAACCCCAACCAACTACACCCACAAAGACTTCAAAGAGAGCATTGTTTCCTGATCAAACGGAGAAATCTGATGGGTAAAGTTCTCTTCGTGCTTAATGAACTCATGTGTAATTCTTACAAACCATGCTTCTCTTAGGTATATGAATATGTTTTCCTACTCATGAAAAAGCTTCACACCACTCTTTCACGCTCTTTTGTCACTCTCGCAATCATCTCTAACCTTTTAAATTTGTACCTTCACTCATAGCAAAAAACCTCATGATGACCAAACAGAGACAACCAATTCTGCTAGAATTGCTAGAGAATTGCACAATCTGGTTGTCCCCAAAATTGAATCAACCGACAAAGTACCGTTAGCCGCACTCAAAACATAATCTCAAAGCAAAAAACCCAAAGATAGGTAACTTACAATTTATTTTTCATGCACACACCTATATAACAAACATTATAGTATTCTTAAACTATGATTTATATTTTTTGCTATAGTGCGGAAGATGTCCACTCTCAAAAAAAGTGAACAATGCAATCTCTGTAAGCCGTTCTACATCTTTTCAGCTAGCAACATTTTTGCTTCAACACCTGCATGTTCTTTGCTTTGCACGTTTGTGCTTGGAAACTTAGATGCTAGAATGAGAACAAAACAGTCTTTATCTTTTTTGTCAACTACTCAAACATGTACCTAACCTAGAAGATATACAGTTTTTCACCTTCGCTACAAAGGCAACATGTCTATGTCTGTAAACTATGTGTTACTTTTGTTTATTCTAGGTATTAGCGAACCAAAACGTTTCGTTTCGTCCTTTTAATTGTACAATGCAGTTCAAGGTGATGCATTCAAGCCCCGCAGCATCGCGCGGGCATTTCTTCTAGTAACTCCTATGAACGGATTAAGAGAGCAATGACTAATCAATACTTGTAAGTAACTCTTAGCACGCACGTTAATTGTACTTCAATCATCAATGTTTCAGCTTACCTCTATTGAAATTGACTCTTTTATTTCACACATCTTCTCACACTCTTCCTCTCTAGTACTTGCTGACACCTCTTGCCAAGGCAGACTGGAAAAATAAAATTATAGAGAAAGAAACACCGTAACTAAACACAATGATCCCAATAAAACATACATAAAGCATAACAGCAAGGCACAAGGTTTACCTTCCTCGTAGAAAGTACGTAAGCACATATCCAAGTGATTCTAAATCATCCCGGCAGCTTTGCTCTATGAACATTGAAGTAAAACAGTTTAAAGACAGATGGACGGAGGGAGAGGAAGAGAAAGAATGTAGGGGACAAGGGGAGATTAAAAGACGGTGAGAGAATTCACTTACCAACGCCACGGTGAGCATTGATGCTTGAATATGCTACATTATGTTTCCACTTCTTACCGTCTCTGCGTTATATACATGAGAACTTGACATTAGAAACTCGGTAGCCACAAGTTCACTTATAATCATAATGTGTGGATCCATTCTCAGTGGACTACACATCTAATCTAGCTTAAGCGCCGGAAAATAAACATTTGGGTTTTCAAAAACACTTTAATCATTGAAAATAGAGACAGTGGAACCCAAACTGACGGCATTTCCGAAGTGCAACTTTGAAGCAAGATACAATCAGCCGCTGAACAATAAAGACAACACCGAAAGAATAAAACAAGCCACCAACCTATAAGGAATATGCATCAGCATATTCAGAACACGGAATAAAGCTATAGTGTTTACACAGGACATAAAAAAACATATCGAAAGAACCTCATTAGGTTGTTTAATGGCACCAAATAGGAAGTTTTCTGGCTTGATATCCTGGTGTAGAAATGATTTGGAATGGACAAACTCCACACGATTGATCTGACACAAATTTCAAGACGAAGATAATCAGGCTGCAAGTTAGACGACTAGATTTCAAAAAATATGCATTCGTGAAAAAAAAAACATGTCTACCATTTTTTCAGCAAGCATGAGGACAGTCTTCAAAGAGAATTTCTTGCTGCAGCAGGTGAAAAATTCTCGAGACTAAGTCCCATTACGTCCATCACAAGAGCATTGTGGTCTCCTTCCACTCCAATCCATCTCACTTTTGAAATTCCAGCTGCCAAAGTCCAATACAGAAGCCCACCAACGAAGAGTTCATAGGGGTTAGAACTAAACTATATAAACATATGTGTACATATAGTAAACAACAAATAAACAAATATACAAAAAGCTTCAGGGATAGTGGCTGAGGCCATGACCTCCTCCCTTTAGTCTGTTATACACCTCTGATTCATGGATCAACGCGGGATACTCCGCGTTCACATTTTCCTGAAAAAATGTACAACAGAATTCCAGCTATATATATAAACTGATAACTACAAGGAGTAAAGCATTGCGGTCCTTTCGATTAAAGACAAAGTAGGCATAAAGATGAGCAACATGATCCATATATGAAAACGAAAGATGAAATATTCCAAAGTCAGAAAATATTGAACACAACGGAATGTATTTTGATTGTGACCTTAATCTTTGGGAAAAAAATATGGAAATTCAAGAGAATAATATCCTAGATAAATTGGAGACCGAATCGTGGTCATAAAGCCCCAAATGATTGTTGACAACTTGTATTGGACAGTAACTAGAAGCCACGAACAGAGGCGAAGTAGGCAAACAATTGTTATACCCGCAATTTCAACCATACAAAACACATAAGATTTAGGTGATTAGCGCAGCGAAGGACGTTTTCAGAAGAAATTGTGTCGCAATAAAACATCAAACCACCGAAAACTTCCAACAATCGTCCCTACATTGTTCGTTTCTATACAGCATGATCATGGAACAAGTATCGATACAAACACAAAGTTTCAAATTTATCAATACTTTTTTTATTTCAATTAGAAAAGATAATTTAATAGAACAAAAAATCGAAAAAAAAGATCTCACCAGCTTAATCTCAACCAACTGCTTCGTGAAAGTATCAGTTCCTGAAAATCAAAGAACAGAAATTGAAAAAGAAATTTAAAAAAAATTACCAAAAATTAAAAAGAAAGGACGAACAGTAAAAGAAATTGCAAGAATTAAAGAGAAATAATCATAGCCAAAAAATTGAAAAAAAAAATTCAAACGAAAGAGAGAAAGAAACCATGGTAGACCACTCCGAACTGCGAGAAACGGATTATCGGGCCGACTTGAAACCTTCCGCTCACAACAGGTCGAGACTTCCTATCAAACCATCCCTTCCCTCCAACAACAGACTCCATATCTCAAAACCCGAATCAAAGCCCTAAACTCTCAAACAAACAACGACCGATCTCTCTCTCTCTCTCTCCCTCCGTATCAGGTTTTTGCCCGCCTTTTTCTATAGCGGCTATATATATGTATGAAGTTAAATATTTAAAAACCCCAAAATATCCCCACATAAAACTGAAAATTAAAGGATAGAATAGTAAAATCAGTGGGTTTTTATTTTGAGAGGTTTAATCACACTCCGGGATTGTTCACTTTTAACAAAAAACCACATTTATACATTTTCCTGGTACTATTCACTATACCTTTAAAAAGGGCTTTTCATTAAAATGGAAGTTTTTTTGAACTTTTCGTTAGTTTTTCTTTTTATTTTCTCGCTTCATACGTTTCCTACTACTCGTACAATTGTGTTTACGTATGTTCCCTACTTCTCATACTAGTGTAACTTTTTGAGTGACTGCGCATGTATGTCACGCTCCCATTCCAATTGACGCTTAAGATCGAAACGTGACGTCAAAACATAGTAGTAAATTATATATATGAAATATAATTACATAGCTTTCTAACTCAAAAACAGATTTATCCAGCGGGCGTATAATTCCTAAGCTTTGATTTTATGAAGTGAAAAAAATTGGTGAGTATTGTAAACTACTCTAATGACTCATTTGGAAAGTGTTTTCAAATGTCTGAAAGTACTTTTAAAGAAAATGTTTATGAGTTTAAAAAACACTTGAAGTTCTTTCCAAAGCTTCTTCCATGAAACACTTCAAGTATTTATTCAAGATAAACCTCCATTTTTTTTACTAAAGAACTAAGTTTAAAAATGTTTTCTCTAAAAGCACTTTCATTTATTTAGAAGCACTTTCCAAACAAGTCATAATTCAAACAAGAGGAGAATTCGAGCTCAAGTACATGATGCGAACATATTCGATGGTGACGATAGAATGTTTGGCAAACTGAAACCTGGATGTTCACTTGTCCAAAACTCTGGTAAAAAGAATAACTCATATCATATTACGTACCTGGAATTTCTTTATCCACAGAAATTTCAATTACATACATGACATCCAGAACAAGAATGGAAAACAAGGTGGCAGAAAATAGCAACTTGTGCTTACAAAAATATACAGAATACGAGTAGAAAGCGTAAGCCGACTATCGAGGGGCTTTATACTATGGACCTGTTTTCTGTACTACAATTGCTTGAGTCGAACAAGTTCTATGATGAGGCAGATTCCGAGGGCTTGTCCTTCGAAGCTGAGGATGGTTCCAGTGTAAGATCTCCAACTCCCTTCGCAGGACCAATGCTGCAACGAGCTGTGTTGTGTAATGCAATAGCATCCTTTAACTTCTGGAACTGCAGAAGATTATGAACACAATCAGGTGGTTTCAGATGAAAATGGATGTGAAACTTCCTAAAAGCATTAAAGTAATACTAAAACTTGGGCATCCGCATTACTCGCATGAAAATTCTACACGCTTACAAGAGTATAACGGAAAGATGATTGTTTCTGACAGTATCTCAACAAGTTTACTGTAATCCTATTCGGCTTTCTAATCGGGGTTGGAGTTTTAAGCCAATGATGGTTCCCATTTTCAGAAAACTAGGTGCTTCAGAAGGTGTATTCAGTTCTTAAAGATAAAAAAAAATATAACAGAGACTATAGAAAAATTCTGTTCCGCTCCTCTTCCCCGGTGTCTAACTGATAAAAAAGAAGTTCAAGAACTACCTTAGCGAGTGAACAAGAAAAGGATTCAAGCTGTCCCTCAGATCCACGATAAAAGTGGAAATACGGAAGCACCTTCACGTTCATACTTTTGCACATTGGTTTGTTCTCGTCAAAATTCACTTTCAGGAATAAAATCTCAGGGTGGTCTTCAGCTGTTCTGCAGAGCTGACACATGTAGTAAACAGTGATATCAGGAACATAGCTCCTCAACCATATAAAAGCAAATTTGAAACAGTGTAATACGTTTAACTTTATCTAAGTTTCGATTGAAGAGCGTTAGATTCCAGGACATTCACAAAATGAAATTCAAAATTGAAGGGTTCTTATGTTCCATTAAACATTTAAGTTGAAATTTTGGGCAGAGCCATCTCCTCTGTTCAAGAACCAGTTACCACAGATTATTTCCGATCAGTCAAAATCTTTCACAAGTAATAATACGTCTAGATAACAGAAGGCAACAGTCCAAAAACAATAAAACAGCTCAACAAGGTATGCTCACCATCTAGATACGATTAATACAGTTTATACCATAGGGGCCTATAATTAGTGTTGGAAAAATATTAATGCTTTAAGAGTTTATATGTTATGCTGGCATTGCACATAAGACACAGTTCTCGAACAAACGAGGAACACCATTAAGGATGCATGTCCAGACAAATTTATAACAACAAAATCAGTTTCTGTCTGGATCCCAATTGCACAAACATATGTACAGCATTTGGATGACACCAGTCCTATAATACACGTATGTATTCACATATAAGCGCATGGACATTACCTTCTTCACTGCTTGTTGTAATGTCCAAAAAGGATTATTGTCTCGGGAGTTGTAACAAAATTTTCAAGCAGAAAGCAACTAGAAACAACTGAATTATGAGATTACCTTAGGAAACAATGCTCGGCAAGAAGCACACCACGTTCCATAGAATTCTACAATAACTAATCTATCACCAGCTTGGCCCAAAGCACTCAAAAACTCTTGAGTGGAATGAATGTCGACCATATTCGGAACACTTCTTTCCCACCATTTTGGCTGGTCCTTGTCTCTTTCGGCAACAGTTGCCTGCACCTGCATTCAGTACACAATAACCCATTACACAAAATTTTGGACACAAAATCAGCAATCAGCATAGCCCAAAACTTGAGGAAAACTAACAAAACATCAATTTCCACTGGATTTTCGACTTCCCTTTTAATCTTTTCCTTTTGTGCAACTGCCACCATAAGCCAGGTTATCAAAATTATAAAACTTGGCAGCTAAAGCAGCGAAATGCAATGGAATATGACAACTTCATCAAAAGGGGTTCCCAAAAATGCTTCTAATTTGCAGAAAACTTGCCAATTGAAGCCCAATTCACGAACAAAATTACCAAAAGCTATTACATGCGGCCAAATTACAACATTTCAAAAAATAGGTAATCGTGAATTCAATCAAATACTAAGCAGATAACAAAAAAATGAAAGAAAAATGCCAAGTATGGATAGAATTACCTTGATATTAACCAGCTGCTTTCTGGGTCTGAAAGCGAAGTGAGCAACAGACGAATACGAAAGGGGATAAACCCTCCTGTATGGGTTTTGATTGGCTGGGAGGCCCGGTTGCAGAGAACTGACAGAGGAGGCGAAGGACGTGAGCAGAGACGAAGAGAAACGAAGTGAATGGAATGGTAATCTCAGGACATCAGCCATTTAATTGAAAGAAAGAAGAGGAAACTACAGTGCTCTGGAGAAATCTGAGAAAAGGGTAAGAGGTGGGAGAGGTCAAGTCTTCACGGAGATTGAGGGTCAAGGCAGAGAAGAAGAAAGGCCATGGCTTTTCGGAAAAAAAGAGGGGGGTTTTGTAATAGTATCTGCTCTGCTTCGTGTGTGAACCATATGGTACCAGAGGAAGACCAAGTTGTTTGGGTCCTTCTACTTTTTTTTTTTTCTCTTTTTGTAATTTTACAACTTTTTAATTTTTTAACTTTCCAATTTCACGGGTTTGTTCAATTGGCTTTTTTTACGTTAAATTATTTTTTTTTTAGATTTTATTTTAATAAATTATATTTATTTATTAAAATATGCAAAAAAGAAATGAAGCCTACCACAGAAAACCTGGGTACTTTTTCATTTTTTTAATGTGTAATTTTCATTCAAAATTTAAACGGTCTTGAATTACTATTTTGTCTCTTATTAAGTAAATTGTCTTTTTCAAATGCTTTAATAAGGAAGGGGCGTTTAGTGGCATTTTGAATGTTTGCCCTTTTATCCTTCTCACTCTACAGCAACAACATTAAATGGTTGGGTCGTTAGTTGTTAAGAAAATTAGTGTGCATAATAATTGTTTTTCATCGTTGAGGTAAAACACCATATGCACAAAGTGTCACTAATTTATCGTACAAACATCATAATCAAATCTTTTATTCTTTTTATCATCATCTAAGGATCATCTTTAAAACTTTAAGAAATTCATTTAATATTAAAACCATTTAATCATCTATACGAATCAAACAAATTAAAACTCATCACAAAAATGTTACTATTATCATAATTGTCTATTTGTTCGACACATATATATGTATTGTTAAATGGTTTCCAAATAATATTTCTAAAAATAATCTCCCGTGAAAAATGCGTATCTTTTATTGTTTAGAGTCTAAACTCGTCCATACACAGGATCTCGTCCTCCACATTGGTCTCGTCCTCATCGTCGTCATCGATGCTGATATGGTAGTCTTATTCTATTTCTTCGGCATCATCCCAGTACCGTGATAGGGTAGTCTTATGCTATTTCTCCGCAGAGCGCAGAGGCCCAAACTCCGCAGCGACGTATTTGCGAAGGCCATTCATTATTTCAAGTGCCTGAAACCAAAATGTAGTGCCCTCAAATCAGAAAACTAATGAGAAAATAGTTCAAAAAGAAAAGAGGCAGTTCAAAGATCATAATTGAAGTACAGATACGGGTACATTTTTGTTT